TCAATTACAGCCCGGGCTTACCTATGTACTTCTGACCTATAAAACACAAGAGGCCTTTGTGTCTAACTGGCTCGGCCATTAAGGTTCCTGAAGATCACAACAATGCTGATCTTTTCTATTTAAGCTAAATCAATGTGGACAAATCATTATTCAGGAGCTTTAATTTAATTAGTAAATTAAATACACTACTTTACAGATCTTGTCAAGTACTTATGAAAAGAAAGATTCATTTAAGCGAGAGGTCACCAATAAGCCCAGCTAATTTAACTCACGACCTTAACTGAATCTCATCGCGAATATCTAGCAGGCCCCTAGTCCCGCGAGGGCTTAACAGTCGCCTGCAGTTGTGGTGTACTCATAACCCCAGCGTTCCCATCCGGGATCCAAACAGTGTTTTGGGCCGAAAACAAAACAAAACAAAAGAAAACAAAACAAAAAACAAACCTCAAACAAACCCCCCATCGACATAACCAGCATCGAGAGAATCAGATTTCCTTGAAATTATACTATTGCAAGAGAACGTAATCAGGTTACCTTTATTATGTTGCTTCCTTAAGATTTTATATTAACTATACTTAATGGAGATACAGAGGTCTTTTCAGCTATAAAGACGACAGCTACTTTATTGAGGTTTAAATCTGATTCCTTAATGATAGGCTGCTTCCTTGAAAGACTCTAAACCTGCACAACCTTCTTATGATAAAACCAGACCTGGCCTGGGTGAGTCTGGTGCTTCACTTAAACACAGCCGAGAGCCTCTGATGAGTGCTAGTTTCACAGAAAGGTCCCTTGCTTTTGTTTCAGTGTCGGAATTCGAGGCCAGTACTTAAAAAGAGAGCCCGCCGCATTCAAAGCCTACGTGTGGACCTGTATTAACGATGGAGAATTATTTCTCTGAGACAATTTAACCCGGGTAGTTTCTGATACGGAGACATTCTCCATGTGCCACACACATCTTTGTTCAGTTAGAATGAACTAAAATTAATTTATCTTTTAGAGGTCTGTGACATCCTTCAAAACAGCAAAAGAAATCCTAAGGAGTGGCAAAACCAGACGGAGAAATTGCTGATTTGAATTACAATGGCAGCATACACTGGTGGTTTTTTTTTTTTTTTTTTTTGATGTCTAGAAAGGCAGAGTTTATTCTTAATTTCTCAGGGCTTCTGACACCCAGATGTTCTCAACTAACTCTGGTAAGAGTCCATATTTTTATGTATGGCTTTCTTTTTAAGGCATGTATCTATTTAGTCGTTAAGTTCCAGGTTCTTAAACATTCACAGGGACAGGGCAATAAATCTTCCCTCTGAGAACATGGCCTAAGAGGGAGAAGTTCGGGGCAGAAGAGCCGCGGAACTGCTATTTATGGAGCATGGCTTCCCAGTGTGCGTCTTTCTGATTCCACAATATATGTAATTATGGGTTTCGCTGCAGGCGCTCTGATGCTCGGTCCCTCTGCCAAGTCAGCTATTCACACACTTTTTGGATACGGCATCAATTCAACTTGCGTCGTGCTCCTTATGACGACCAAATTAATGGTTTGACAGCGGCTTTCTCAATAAACACTGCAGACTGGCTGCATTCGAAGGTTTTTAAAAACCATTTCTTTTTTGTTCAAAACTCTGACAAACACGTCTCAAGTAAGACCGGGAACAACTTCATTATCCTCCCGACACTTAATGCCTTTTTGTAAAGAAGGCTGTTTAATAACACGTCCGCTCTATTTTCACAACTAAATTATTCCAGTTGGTCACACGTTCCCGTCTTCGGCAAGACACTTGTGTTATGAGAGATAAAAACATGAAAAAGGAAATATATTGCAGAAATCAAAAACCTTATCTACTTCTAGACTCTCTCTCTTTGCCATAATTCATTCAAGAAGGCCCCAAGAATAATTTTTGATGTGAACTCAGCTACAAACATACATCACTATGCTGATAAAAATCACGGGCTAAACTTATGAAATATAGTGACTTTCATTTCTTTACTGCTGTTAAAATAACTTTTTTCTAAGGTTCAACAGACACAAAAGATAAAAAGGGTTACCATTAATCCTTTAAAAAAAGAAGCAGCCCCGTAGATTAATTCTGAGGTCTGATGATGGTCTCGAAGATGAACTTTTTAGATTAACTCACTGAATTAATTTGATGAAGATACTGGAAATCATAAAAAAAAAAAAAATAACACAGCATCAAGCCGATTCATTTAATATATCTTTGTTTGGGCACTTTACAACATAAATTATATTGAATAACTTTTGGTTTCTAAATTCTGGCCTTATTAAGTTCAATTTCAAGACAGCGAACATACACTGAGGGCAACTGCAGGCACTGTGCTAGGGGCCGAGCACAAAGAACTCGGCTCCTGGGGCAATCAGCTCGGCATGGAGATGGGCGGAAGAGAGGGGAAGAGTCCAGAGAGACATACAGAGCAGTGTGTGAGGTGCTTTACCAGCGATGTGTACAAACGCCTAGAGGCAAAGTTACAGAGAGAGGCTGCCAGGTGAGCTGGCTCTTGAAAAATAGTGGGCTGGGCATAGGGAAATAAAGGTGTCCATAAGTTAGAGGGTGGGGGTGAGGTGCAGGCCAGGCAGTGGGAACGGCAGCAGCACAGGCTTTGAGGTGTGTTTGTGTACGAGAAGTTCACAGCGTCCATGGCCCAAGTTCTGGATGGGAAATTGTGGGCTGTGAGCCTGCAGTAGCCGACGTCTGCAAAGGCTATGCTGAGTCTGAATTTTATTCTGTAAGTCTCTATCTTTTAAACCTTTTCTTTTTAAGCAATAAAACAATTTTAAGAGTTGACTTTTTAAATGCAGAATCTCAAAATAGAAAAAGATTGAGCTCCTTTGGTTGAAGGGGAGGCTTTATGCCCACACATGCACGCGTGCACGCACACACGCGTGTGCCCCTAGAGGTCCCCTGAGGAACACGGTTTGAAACAGGGACTTAGGAAGTGTTTCATAGCAGTGCATCTCTTTATTCAGGAAAGTATCATCATTTCTAGGTCTCTGGACCCAGAGACAGAGGGGAAGACACCTCAGTAAGACTCACATGTGCGGTTTTCACCCAGAGCCACCCAGCAGGCCTGAAAAGAAGACAAAGGCTCTCTTGCTGGATTGTCAACAGTGAAATGGTGGGGCCCACGTCTGCTCTGCATCCCCAATTCTTGGAACCCGGCCTCACTCACGGTGAGGTGACAATTACCTCCTGAGTGACTGATCCCAAGAGAAAACTGGGAGGTGGTGGTCATGCACCTTTCTGTCGCTCCCCGCTAGGCCGGGCGTGCTACATCCCTCACCTTTCAGAGCCTGAATCAGGGTTTCTTGGTGGTGAGTGTCTTGACGTGAGTGTAAGAGAAACCTGAATCCTGTTCCCAGCTCTTTCCCCAACCTTCCCACCAAGCTGATCCCTCTATGCAACATGTATGTGATTGTCTTTTGTTTCTTAGACACATGGAGATTCATAAATGTTACTTTTCAAAGCATCCTCAGTTCTTGGGAAGAAAGATGCTAAAAGATGCTAGAATAATAACATCTTTATTGGTCGAAAAGCTGGAGTGAGAGGGATTAGGAAGAGGGTGTTTATCTAAAGGCACGGGGGATCTGGAAGCCTGGGGACAAGGGCCTCAGAGCTGCCAACACCATTCACACCAGCCCCTGCCAGCGGCCACCTCACAGAGTCAAGGCCTCGCGGGATGACAGGAAGGGCGGGGGGTGGGGAGGGCCTGGCCTGACTCCTTTCCCCCTACACCCCGAAGTTCTCCCTTCTTGTCAAGCTGTAGGCCAATGAGTTGAAAGGAGGAGACGACATAGCCTGGCATCACTGGATCTGACAAAACAATTAAACGCTTGCCCGTAAATGAGACCACGTGGCTCGTGCCCAGTCTGGAGGCCCCGGGGAGCCAGGGGCTCCGTGCTCTTTAGGCCCCTGTTTAGTCAGTATTATCTCAAACACATGAACCATATTATAAACACTTGCTGGACTTTACATTTCTTATTATTCCTTTTGGGTATGTCGTTCCTTATAATATTTGTTCTCAAATTTAGTGGAAACTGGAAAAAAGCCGATTAACAATAATTTTAGATGCTCGAGAGTCATACTCCAAGTTGCTGAATCAGAACCCAAGGCGGGGGCCGAGGGTGACCGCATGTTAAAGAGTCCACAGGCAACACTGACAGCCTTTGAGGACCACTAGCGCATAGCCTTCTCCAGGCATCCAACGAATCCTTATACAGTTTAAACTTTTCTCTTCCATGGAGGAATTTCATTGTGATCTGCACCCTTTCTGTCCCTTGATGGGACTGAAGTCCTAAAAATGATTAATCTAACTGCTACACTCAATTACTTAACTGCAAAAATATAATACGTCAAGATATACAACCAGACTGTTATCTACTTTCATAATTTAAACAGAGGAGCGTCAAACCGGCAGCGAGCTCTTCTGCGGGAGCAGGCGGGAGTTTAATTACGAGCTGGTAGGTCGCGCAAATGCCAATAATCTGGAGGGTGCTGACACTTAGGCATGATGGACATCTAAATCTAGTCTTCAGCTGCCACAGAAAATCCCCCAGCTTCCCTCGGTCTGGCCAGGAAGGAAGGAAGGCAGGTCCAAGTCTAACTGGTCAAGTCCCCCAAACGGGAAGAGGGAGGGTGCACGAAGTGAAATGAGGGCCCTGGTGACTGCCATCCTCAGCAGGAGTTTGTCCCCAGCCTTCCCTCTCCCGCCCCTCCCCCGCACTCCCATCCCCAGTGCCCGGGGGTGGGGCTACTGGGGTCAAGAGCTGTGAGGTTCTCTGCTGACATCAACGCTGAACAGGATGGGGACCCATGTCAGGCTCTGGGCACCATAATACAATCCTGTTTGATTAAAAGAAATTTCTGGTAATGAATTAAACAGACCCAAGGAAAAAAGGACACGGTGGTAATATATTCTCCTGGCACCCAGCACATTGAGGGGAAGAGGGGGAAGAGAGAAAGGAGACATAAATAAAAGGGACTACTCACTGGGGCTTTTTTCTTCAGCAAGGTCACAGGCACAGAGCAGGTCAGAATCGATTGAGATGGGTTTCTGCTTAATCCAAAACTTAGTGCTGGCTTTCTGATTCGTAACAGGGTCTATCTCTACTTTGTCTCCAGAGATACCTGTAAGGCCGGGGGGAGGACAAAAAAAAAAGAAGCCACAAGAAGTGGAAGGTGTAAGTGATTTCGGTGTAATCATTCGACCTGCTTTGTAAATCCTCTATTGGAGAACACGTGCTATTTCTTGGGGCTCAGGGGAGGGCCATGGGCTTAAGACAGACACAGGGAGATTCCAAATGGCACAAGAAGTTGCATAGTCTGGTTTCCTGGGTGGGTGAGTTGGGGAAGGGGACGCCTTAAAACTATATATAAAAAGGCATTAAGAAATACATCTTAGATATAACACAGATACAATATAGAGTTTACCTACATTGTGTCAATCCTACATTAATTACCTCTATACTGTAATTAAATAACTATACTATAAGATTCGTTTACAAACCAATTATGATCAGTGGTCTTTTTGTTGTTGTTGTTCTAGAATAAGATCTGGGTTGGACAGATAAATCTGTAATATAACCTATGCCTAAATAGCTAAGCTACCAATGAAGAGTTTCTGATCTTGAAAAACCTTACGAACTAAAAATAGGGAAAAAAAAAAAATCTAGCTCTTCCTTTCTCTGACACTAAATAATTATCCAAGCTAAATTTAAAGGAAGCCACGGGAGGATCAGAGGGTCCTTTACATAAAATCTTCCAAGTTTAAGTCTTGGAGCCTGGCTTCAGGCTGTGGAGGTCGCTTCTCCACTGAGAGAGAGAGAGCAGTCGGTGCGAGCTTCATGCAACAAAGACTTTATAACAGGAATCCGGAATGTTAAACCCCGGCCCTTCGGGTTTCATTTTCAGAACTGTGGAAGACGTGACACACTGCGCGGCGACTGGGAGCGAGGGCGTTAGGAGAACAAAGGGAACCCAAGGGCGGACGGCGTCCAGGGATAACCGGACACGCACCGCAACTGCTCTGCTGGCGTCACCAAGCAGTGCGCGCTCAGCCCGACTCACGGGAGCTGGGCTCCGTGCTCCCTCTTTTCTCTTTGGTTGAAGATGGAGAATTTCTGGTCATGAAATGAGACAAAAATCTTCAATATGCCTTCGAGAGCGGGCCCCAGATGGAATCTTGAAAGTAATTAATTTTTAGGCCAGAGTTTAAAGGTCAGGGTCAAAGTGAAAAGAGCAAAATGAAGTAAAGATATAAGAAATAAAACAATCAAATGTACACAATGCGACAGAAAAAACCGAGTTAATACATTTCACACTTATGACTCACACTTAGAAATTTTTCAATACAATGTGAGAAAACTTAGTAGGCCAAAAGGAAAAGCAGATAAAAGAAACAGATCAAAAAACAAAACAAAAATGACAAAACACAAAAACAAAAACGAAAAACTCCACAGTGACCATAGTCTGAGAGCAAATTTAAAATTAAAAAAGAAAACAAACACACATACGACTCTGGCGATGAGGTCTGCCACACACTTGTTAGGTTCTGTTTTATCTTATGAATAAAGAACGTCAAGCCGCAGGCAGACAAAGGCAGGCGACCAGACAGGCTGAGCGAGTCCCGCCTGCCGTCTGCGGAGGGGACAATGCAGTGCGGCCACTTAACCCCGGTCATCGCTCGGTGGTCGTTGGAAAAGACAAACAACTAGTATTTTTTTATTAATCGAATGCTGGAATTTGTCATTAGACATATTTCAGGAACACCGTATTTCAATTAGGCACAACGTCATAAGTCCAATTGACTCTGGACGTTCAGGTCCAGATGATTTCAGGAGGGTGAGAATGTATCACTTAAAATAGATTACGACTACCCAGTTACACTCTTCCCTCCAATTTGGTCATTAATTGTTAAAGATCTGGACATTTCTACAGTTCCCTGACAGAGGTAAAGTACTTACGCCACGGTTGTCGGTAGCAAGTGTTTTTTCGTGTGTCCCCCCCGCCCCGACCCTTCTGCTTCTTATTTTGACATTGATAAAAGTCAAAACGAGCAGAGCAAAATAAATGTGCATATCTCTTATGCGGAATAAACCCTGCCTACACTTCTTTCTCAGAAAGAGAGGGGGAAAAATCATCACCAGAGAGACACGGTTTTAAAATTTTGTTCTATGGCCCTGCAACTCTTGAAGTCGCAGTCAGTCAATATTGTTAATGTGCCTTGTTAATTTGATAGGATTTGTCAGGTAACTCCACTGGAAAATTATATAAAACTGTTCCAGATGAAAAGATGATAGTGACATGAATTAAAGTGATAGAACAATAGTGGAATATAAACCAGAAATGACACCCAAAGTGGCTGTTGATTTATTGCCGTACTGAGTTTGGTTCTGGGCTCCCATGTATATTAGTGCTACAAATCTGGGTCCATTTAGCAGAGGGATGCTCATACATACATCACCAGCTCCTGCTCCAAGCCAAGGTCACTCCCCATTGCATCAATCTTTTCAACAGAGCCTACTTCACAAAGCAGGACTTTTGTAACCATCTCAGATGTAACAGACTCTCGTCCTCCTTCATCTTTCTTTTATCATGTAAAGTACACTTTAACTTCTATTATTTTTATCTGCAAATTGTTACTGTATAGTTCATCCATTACCAGCCGTATCTCTACATCAATTGCCTAAGCTCTGCACGGCCACAGGAACACTTTCCCAATGACGCCCTTTCCTGGGTTATTGTGCAGTCGCTGTGCACAGAGGGGAACCCCAAGCCTGGGGTTTGGGGATGAAGACGTGGGAGATGAATGTATTAGGTTCAAGATGGGCAGGCAGGTGGAACACCATTTAAACAATTGGCGTGTTCCAAAAAAGTTGTGTGTAAATCAGATTTTTTTCGAATCAAATCACATTTCCCACTGACTTCTAGTTCCACAGATACTTTATCTTCATTTTGGATTGATCCGTAATTGGCAGGGGCCCCTAACACTTTATTTTTAAGTTTCTCTGCCCTGCAGGCTTTCAGTCAAATAGTTAATGATCTGTAAAACACTTGCCTGCCTAGAGGAGTCACTATTTAAAGGAACCTGTAGGGGAATCTTTCCTGATGAGAAAAATCCTTTTGTACATTAAATAATTTCACCCTACTTGAGATGCGTGTGAATCTCAGCTTCTTACAGCAGGGCATGTGGCCCCACTGCACCCTCTCTGCTCTGGGTGGAGAAGTGGCAGCCCTCTGCTTCCACTCCAGGCCAGAGCCTGTGTTCCTGAGCACACTCAGACCCCACTGCTGGAGAAAGAGGCCATAGAATCCAGCCTGGGAGCAAACAGAGACCTCTTCTGTCTCTGGCGTGGGAGTCTCAGGTCAACTTGGTTGGAAGGAGGCAGCAGCCTAGGGAGTGGAGACCAGTTGGAGGGCTGGTGCCACAGTCCAGGCCAGGGGCAAGACAGGTGAACAGGTGAACATCAACTGGCACAAACTATGTGCACTGATTCAGGTCTCGAGAAAACCTTGTGAACTTGGTTACTATGTTTATCCCTATGTTATACAGGAGGAACCTGAAACACAGGGAGGTTAAGTAACTTGCCTGAGATCACACAGCTAAAAAGTGGCAAAGCTGGAATTTGAAGAAAACTAGGAAATTTGTTCCAGAATCTGTCCTCTCAGCCACTACACTATTCTGCAGGACCTGTGCGGGGTGTTTTCCATAGCACACGTTGGGGCAGGTGAAGGTGCCGTCTGGAGAGACTGTATGTGGAAAAGCCATTCTCACACCCAGAGCCTCCTAGTTCCCCAGTGCGGTGCCTTCCGCTGCTCTGCACAGTCTTAGTTGAGTCAAGAAGACATCATAAGGAACTCTGCCCAACTCGTCTTTAGTCTCCGATCTCAACGTTTGCTAAGGAACAAATAAATATGCAAATGTGCCAATAAACACACACCAATTTTTGTTCACACACGGCAAACCAGGACATGAAATCCTTCCTACCTACCTACCTACCTATCATCTATTTTTTGACCACTTGAGCATGGTTTAATTGCCCTGGCTAAAATTTTTATGTAAAGTCACTGAAAGAAAGGCAGAAGTACCCCTTAAAGTGTTGCTCATACACTATTTTTAAGTAATTCAAATTATAGACGTAAATACACTATTTTTAAGTAATTCAAATTATAGACATACAGACATAAAGAAAACAAGGGAAGGTAGCTTTTACGTTTACATTTCCCCAACTTAAATGGCCAACAATAGAGGATTAGTCAGTCCACTCATGATAGACTACAACACAACCATGAAAATTATGTGTAAGAAAAACTTCGACTTGGAAAAATGTTTAGGATGTTACGTGAAAAGGACAGAAAAAGTATTTATTGGAAAGAGAGGAAACGAACACGCTCCAAATTGGAAATGGTGGTCAACTCTGGTGAGTGGGAAATATGTCCTTTCCTTTTCTGTATTTCTCCGAAGTAAAAATGTCGCCAAGAATGAAGACAAATGATTTTAAGAGATGACATTTTTTTTCACTTTCTACTTCAGAATTCAGTACTCCTTTCCAACTTTTAGAATGCAGGAGGGACTATGGTTGAATTCTGTAACTGATAATCACGAAAAGTGACCGTAACTGAAGATTACTTCCTTTCGGCAGTTCTCAGGGACCCAAGGGATGGCGCTGCTGGGAGGGGCCCAGCCCGGTGCCACCCGGCAGGCCCCACCACAGCCATGGCAGGTAAGGAAAAGAAGAACACGGGGGCTGGCCCCGGGTGGCCAGGGTCAGCCCCTTCCCTCGGAAACAAGGGAGGACGTTTGTCCCCTTTCCCAGCTCTTCCCTCTACCCACTTATCCACAGCCATCTGTCATGACCTTTTCATGCTCCCACTTCTGACAGCTTCCAGATACAGTGAGTCAAACTTCACTGGAAGCAAACTATCACACCAACTGTCAAAGGCAGAAAACACTGCCTGATCGCTGCCCTACATCAACGCCAACATATAAATCCTTCCTTAACAAGACAGCTCAAAATACACAAAAATGCAACTCTAATGTATATACAACTCCCTGGGGAAACTATCCGTCCTAGGCTTTAGAGTTTACAAGGGGTCCCTCGTCTGTTTTAACTAACCGAAAGATTTCC